TCATTGCCTGAAATTCTTCCAAATTTTGTAAGATCTGTAATCATTTTTTTCTTTTTAATTCATAACCTTTGAGCTGCTTTGATTTCGTATTTCCGCAAGTTTCTTTTACTGCTTAAATCTTTGAATAATTTTGCGTTTTTTGTATCATTTTAAGATCGGTTCTTAGAGTGTTGAGCTATGGTGAAGGAAACTGAGTATTACGACATTTTAGGCGTCAAGAGTGATGCACCAGGTGCTGAGATTAAAAAAGCTTATTATATAAAAGTAAGTCTTCTTCTTTTATTAGTTCGATCTCTATTAGTTTTAAGTAATTTTGAGGTAGATTTTGTCACAGTGAATAAGCTTAGATTCGTTGATTTGATCATGGAAAGTTGGAAACTATGTTAAAATATGTTGTGCTTCGAAATTTAGAAGCTTTTGGGTTTTGGTTATAAGATCAATTTATTTGGCAGGCAAGGATAGTTCATCCAGACAAGAACCCTAATGATCCTCAAGCTGCTAGAAACTTTCAGGTGAATCCAAGGGAAAAAGTTCTTCTTTTAGTTTTCCTTCACTTTTGAGCAAAATTTATAAGTTTGCTCAACGACTTTCACAAGGGTTTTAACGAACGTTTGATTGAATTATAATCTCGATTCGACACATTGCTACGTATGAATGAAGGTACTAGGTGAAGCTTACCAAGTTCTTAGCGATCCGGAGAAGCGAAAAGCTTATGACAACTTTGGAAAAGAAGGGCTTCAACAGTAAGTTTGCACTCTCTATTCCCCGTTCCGTATGATTCACTCTATATACGTCATTTGAGTATGTGATTGGTGTAAATGATTAGTTGCTATTGCATAATATCTCAATTCAATTCTGTATAATTTTGCAGGGATGCAATGGTTGATCCTGCAGCTGTATTTGGCATGCTCTTTGGTAGCGAGCTATTTGAGGATTACGTTGGGCAACTTGCTCTTGCTTCAATTTCATCACTTGACGCCGAGTTAGAATCATATGAGCCTGAGATTAGGAAAAAGATGCTTCAAGACAAGATCAAAGTACGTTGTTTTCGTTCTCTTTAACTGTTTTCTTAATCCGTAATGTTTATAAATTCTGTGTGTTTTCATGGGAAATGTGTGCAGGCGATGCAAAAGGCAAGGGAAGACAAGCTTATAGCTACATTGAAAAACAAACTGGAACCATTCGTGGAAAGACAAATCGATGAATTTGTGAATTGGGCTAACGCAGAGGCAAAGCGGCTTTCTACAGCTGGTAATTAATCCTTTCTCAAGCACCCTATAAATTTTTGCATTTTCCGACCCCAAGTTAGCGAAAGACACGAACTTTAGTAATCTTCGGTTACTGTCAGGTTTTGGTGAAGCAATGCTGCACACTGTGGGTTACATTTACACTAGAAAAGCTGCGAAAGAACTCGGAAAGGACAAACGTCTCATGAAAGTACCGTTCTTAGCTGAATGGGTGCGTGACAAAGGCCACATGATAAAATCTCAAGTGATGGCTGCTTCTGGTAAAAGAAATCAACAATTTTTTAAAATTGAACTAATAGCTTCCGTAAACGGGTAAACCAAAAAAATCATTTTTATTTTCTTTGTAGGTGCGGTTGCGTTACTTCAGTTGCAGGACGAAGTGAGCAAGCTGCATCAGGGAGAGAACAAAGAGGAGCATATACAGAAAGCCATTGAAGCTAAAAAAGATGCAATGCTTCAATCCCTTTGGCAAATCAATGTACTCGACATCGAATCAACCTTATCCCGTGTCTGCCAAGCGGTAAGATCCACCACGAAATAATGATCCTATCAATCCTTCCATTGTAATAACTAAATCTTGTTAGTCTCTATTGTTTGTTCTTCAGGTGCTTAAAGATCCAAGTGTTTCAAAGGATGTTCTTCGAGCTAGAGCTAGAGGATTAAGGAAGCTCGGAAACATTTTCCAGGTAAGTTAATAATAGTGTCATATAACAAACACACAAAAGTGTTCTTTCTCTAACATAACACTCTGCTAAACATTTTTTACAGGGTTCTAAGAAACCTTACTCCAGAGAAAACAGTTTGCGCCATGAAGAAGCCGCCGTGAAACTTCACCCCGGCGATTCTTCCAAACCGGCGACTTAAATCAAGAACACCAAAATTTCGAATTTAGCTGTTTGAAAACAAAACGATTTGTTTTTGAGAATTCTTTGAATGTATTGCAAGTTTGTAACGATTTTTTAAGTATATTTTTTTTTTTAAATAAGTTATGGGTTCGTCTTTATATTCTCTTTCTTGGTTGAATCTGTTTCTTCCGTGTTGGCTTCACAAAACTCCAGGTCGCGTATCCTGTAAGATAACTGACAGAGACAGGGTATTTTCATATTTTATAAATTGGTCCCTCAAAAAATATTAATTTTTCAGTTTTGGAATCTAGTTTTAGTTTCTAAACGGCCCACATCTAACGACGTCACTAGGGAAAGTTGCCGGTTAATTATTCGTTCTCCCTCCGTCTTTTTGTCCTTTAACGTGACGTGGCACTACTCACCGTAAGTCACTTCAATTCCGCTAACTCTAACAGCGTCACGACACCACCAAACCGGTTTATCCTGGTTCTATAATCCTTAAGGGTATGACTTTTTTTTGTTTTGAAATATTGAACGTATAAACTGTAAAATATACCAAATGATCGGTACAGTTTGATGAAAATTATCGAAATTACATCGGTTCGGTTTGAATTAATGTTGCGATTTGGTACGGTTTTTGGGTCTTAGACCAATACACACCTACCGGGACCTAACGGCGTTAAATAAACCGTCAGAAAAGACTTGTATTCG